CCACCATTCTTATAGATAGGAATTACCTTAGCTATTTTCATGTCATCTGGAAAAATTCCTGTTGAAAATGATAAATTCATAAATTCTATCTATCGATCTATCGACCGACCGACCGACCATCCCACCTACCCACCACCTACCTACCTCATTTCCTTCACTACCATCATATCCATGTTAATCCAATCTTTTGACCTTTTATCTCTGAATTCTTTTACAATACTCAATATTTCTTCTTCATCAATTTCCCCAAGAAAGATGCTGTTGACGCAACCCTGGATTTTATGGATTTGGTTTTTGCAACCACATTTCATCCACAAAGATGTTTCCCCAATTTCCTTCCAGTTTTAATAATGTGTTTGACAGTTTTTAACCCAATTTTAACAATTTCAGCAACCTCCATGATRTTTTATCTGACWGATGCCAATAATTTGACCCGTCAGATTTCCATCTTTTCCACTACCACATGATGTGTCTTTCAACATAGTTGTATAACAAATAAGAAGCTACTCAGTGCATCATTTAGGGTTCAATAACCTGTTGCCAGCTGAACCATAATTTCTCATGCAGTAATTATCTAATAGGAGGCTCTTACAGCGGTGCTTACTTAAATCCAGGTGGTTCTTTTGTTTTCATTGTAAAAAAAGATTACAGGTTGAACAATTAAAGGACTAACAGCTTTGTTTTTCTGCAGGACAAGTAATGGAAAGAGTTCAGTGATCAATGCCATGTTATGTGACAAAGTGCTGCCCTCTGGGATTGGACACACCACCAACTGCTTCTTGAAGGTGGAGGGCACGGACGGCAGCGAGGCATTCCTCTTGACCGAAGGCTCAGAGGATAAGAAAAACATACAAGTGGGTAAAATCTTTCCATTTTTTTCCAGAGGTAACATATTGCTGTGTCAGTTTGAACCCTTAGCTGATAGTGTGGTYTGTGATTAGACGGTGAACCAGCTTGCCCATGCGCTCCACCAGGATGAGGACCTGGATGCTGGCAGCATGGTTTGTGTCATGTGGCCTAAAGCCAAGTGTGCTCTGCTCAGAGATGATTTGGTGCTGGTGGACAGGTTAGACATTATTTAGCTCAAATTCTATTGAATAGAAAAGAAAAATGTACTGAATAAATTATGGTTTGGTTTTGCTCTCYCTTCTAGCCCAGGCATCGATGTCACCACTGAGCTGGACAGCTGGATCGATAAGTTTTGCCTGGATGCTGATGTCTTTGTTCTGGTAGCAAACTCTGAATCCACTCTCATGCAGACGGTGAGACTGAACAGTTTAATACTCTRTCTTTTGCTTTTTGACTTATTTAATGAGATAAAACTGGAATTCTCAGCCAGACTTTACATAMTTTTGTGCTATATTCACCGATRTCCTTCTACAGGAGAAGTCCTTTTTCCACAAAGTCAATGAGCGTCTCTCCAGTCCCAACATATTCATACTCAACAATCGCTGGGATGCCTCCGCCTCAGAACCTGAATACATGGAGGAGGTTAGTCCACTTCACATCATTATAATACCAAGTCCTGCATGCTGTTCAGAAATCAGCAGTGTTCAAAAACTTKGTCTAATTCAGTCACTGCATATTGGATGTGTTAAAATTAAATATAATGACAGGTAGGCCTGCCACGATAGTCAATAAATTAATTAATCGYACAMTAAATTATTTTGAGGTTGGTAAAAAGAATGAGGACRATAAGTTTCATTTGCCTGCTTGTTCGTTTACATCATCTCTCCCTCTCTGTGCTYCRGTGCACAGGTTGCTCAGCTGACCCCTCCCCTCCTGTTTTCTTAGTGTGGGAGGAGTGAACTCTCGCRCGGTCTCTTTAGCATGAGAGAGCTCGTAGCAATAACAAACTAAAGAAACGTTGATGGGATTCTGACAAATGGAGATGGAATTGRTTTCAATACAGAATGAGACAGCTGCAGTGTAGGAGCACCTGCAGTGACTGAAATTCACTGTGGGGTTGCACATTTTATGATCGATWCTAAAAATCTAATTTTTATAATGCGTGAAGTTCCCACATAGAATAAATTCCAGCGAAGTGTAATTATGTGGGAGTTTGCATCGGACTATATTTAGATGACAACTAGTTACTGAATAAAATTGAACACCTTCTGTTCAGAAGACACACAGAGAGAGAAGGAGAAGGGGTGGGGGCTGAAACTCCCTCGCCTGTGTACCTCCGTGAGCGAGGCAGACAAGACCCGCCATGACAGACTTGTCAAGACTTTACCTGTAGCTCCCAAAAATAACAGGAAACTTAAACACACCATCTGTGTTTTAAAGGGATCCACGATTAGTTGTAACATTAAACTTTATTTGATAAAMATTTATTTTAACTGTAAAATAAAGACTGTAAAAATGCTGTAGGCTGTTTAGTTTAGTAAATTTTTTAAAATATATTTTAACATGAACGGAGCCATTTTATTTACACGCAAAGCATTCTGGGTAAATGATGACATCAACTAGGTCATCTGTGCGAGGCTGCTAGTGAGCTATATCCACCCTGAAGGTTAATCTTGGACAATATCTGAGGATCGGCTCTTTTAAATGAAACCAGAGTGTTGACAGAGAGGAGAAGGTAGAAATGACAGACTGTAACTGAAAATATAGATGGAGGAC